AACAGGATTAACAAAGAGATCTTATATGTCATCTTAAAATGCAGTACTTGCATCAGTAATTCTGGAAAACAGAGTTATAAGAGTCCATGAAATATGGATTTGGGGGCTGCCCTGAAGATTATGAAAGCTTCCACAGACTTTCCAAAGTTTATCCATAACCTGGAGCTGTAAGTGCCCAATCCATTTCAGGTAATGTTTTACGAGTGAGAAAATGCTTGCTAGTGAAAAATTCCTGAATTTAATATGGTAACTGTGGTCCACATTGTAGAGCAGATCTGATTTGAGGACAAAAAAGCCTATACAGATCTGCTCTTTGGTGGAAGGGTGAGGACAGTCTTGTACTTTGGGAGCAAAAGGGCCAAGTGAAAATCTTGGAACTCTGCAGGGAAGTGCACTTACCTACAGTAGTACTACTCCCAGTTGTGTTTTCATATGATTTCTCAATCCTAAGCCTCCAAAAATACCACTCCAAAAATGTAAAATAGCCAAAGACAGAAGCTGAATTTGGAGATTCATTCAACTAAATGAAGAAGCCTGCCCATTTTCTTAGATCTTTAACTACCGTTCTTAATAAGATGATTAGTATTTTCTTGAATATCTCATCTCCTCCTTTTGTCATCCTTTTTTCTACTTTACACACTGTGGCGCTTACTGTGAGTTTTCTGTGAAATCAGCTTCATAGGACATCTTCAGTGCCATTTTCCAAACAATACTCAGTTCTTCTTGAAGACACTTAAAGGAAAAGAACAGAGTCTGAGTTTACCATCAGTTAGCATTGCCTGTTATCTGGTAGATGTTGTGCTCTTCTCTCCAAGTTAGATTTTTGGGATAATCATGGTGTGAAGTAGTGTTTTTCTTTTTCTTCCTGTAAAATATTTTTTCCCGTTCTTTACCTTGCTAAGTTCCCATCTGTGGAGGAAGCCCTGTCCTTTGACAGGCTTCCTCCCTGGAGATCTGTCCCCTAAGATAAGACAAAACCGCCTAGTCATGGTCACTAAGCTGTGGACCCCTTCTTGCTTCAGGACCCCATGTTATCTCCCTGTTAACTATTGGTCCTCTTTCCAATTCTTCCCTTCCCGATAAAAACCCCAGCTTTTTCCCAGTTCAGTGGTTAGGTCATCACTGCCCCCCTTTGTTGAAGTCTGCAATAAAGCCTTTCTGCAGAATGCCACATGATGTCCTGTCTCTTGTCTATGTGCAGCTGGGGTAGCCCATGAATGGAACAGAGCTGATCACTTCAAGAGCAGAAATAACATCTGAAGAGCTGATCACTTAAGCTTCTGCTTATGCTCCTAAGGGTTACCCCTGGCTGGAAACTGCCTGGGTCCCCCGGACAGCAGCTCCTTCCCAGGATATCTATCTGGGTTTGTTGCAGGCAGAACTGGGGGTTGGACAGACCCCCAGACCCAGCCACAACTCCCATTTTCTGTGTGATTCTGCTGCAAGTGACTATCACCTTTTTTCATCATCAACAGTTAAGCCACAATTACACTTAAATGCTTGTCCCCTCACCCTCAGTCCCCATGTTTTCTTCTGAATTGTCTTTGATGTTCTTTTCCCCTTTTAATTTTTGTCTTTTGAAAAATAGAAGCAGTATCAGGATAACTGACAGAACTTCCATAGAAAGTGCTTTAAATTTAACTGAAGTATAGCAAAATTTCTAGTCAAACAGTTTCTTAAAACTCTTCAATCCTCTTGTTGTACACTTTGATGCTAAACTATTTTCTGTTTAGGGGGATAGGAACAACTTTAATTTAGTTTCAAGTTGAATGCCAGTATCTTGATAGACTATTCTTACTCAGCCTCTTCATCCTTGGAACCTTCAAGTTCTGCTGTTGAGATTTAGTGTTTCAAACGAGTATTTGTACACTGAATGGTGTTTAATGTCTCCTCTGGAAACAAAGCAAAAGTTCAACTAGATTCATCAAGTTTATTTTTTCCTCTGTTTTACATACCCTGAACTATAACAATGCACTTGATTTAAGTATCAAAACGGGAGCTCTAACTGAGTCTTCAGGTGGCATGTCTTTGATGCCTTCATGAGGGTCATCATTCATAAGTGTGTAGAATGAGATAATTGTATATCTCATCAGAATTTCACCCCCCGAATTCACCTCTAAAAATCTCTTCTTGTTGACCTCATCTGTGAGAAACTATCAGCTTTTAGAACTCATCCCACATTGGAACTCAAGAGATTTCAAATAAGAATTACTGTTGCTTTCTACAGGAGCTGTAAGTCAGTGTGTATTAATCTTGTTGCTGCTCTTGCAGCTCAAGAGGTAATTTGTAATTTTGCTTTGTTTCTTCTCCGCCAGGTTTCAGCAATCAGTTTTAATGCAGGGCTGAAAAACTTTACTGCAAAGATCTAATACTGGACATCATTTCATCCTTCTGTTAATTGTGAACTGATTGCAAGATCTAACCATGGGTGAATTTCTTTGTGCATATATCAGTGTGCCCACTGTGTTTTGAGAAGTGGTTTTAATTAGTCATTCCATATAATGAAGCTGCATCTTAATATAACTGAGTGTGAAAATTCTGAGGTCTTCTATGAACAAATTAGAAGATTGCCAAAGAGTTTGATTACTAAAGTTGTGTAAAGGAGTATTATGGTGATATTTTTCCTTTGTTTTCAAACTGGAGTTAGTGATTTTGCTGAATTCTCATTAACATCACCTTTTCTGTGACCACTAAAATAGATCTGAAAGAAATCCCTGCTGTAATTTGGGGATATATCTAAGCTTTTGCATAATTGCAAGCCTGTGAGTAGTCCATTAAATTCTGTTAGATTCTACTGTGTGCATCATTCACTGTCTAAAACTTTTGATGTCGGAATTAATAAATTTCCTTCTCATCCTTTTTGTTATGAAGATGAAAGTTCTTCATAACAAGAACTTCTTGGAATAATCTCCTGAATCTCTCACTAGTTACATGCTTCTTTGAAAGTTTGAACATTTTTGGCTTAATCCATTCTTTCATATTGATCAAACATCTTTTTTGAGAGGAAGTTGAGGAAAAGCTCACTTTATACTTGATTCAAACATATCAGCAACAGAGTTATAATGGTTATTTTAAATGAAAAAACTTTGTGATTATAGAACTCTTTTCCAACCTAAAGGATTCTATAATTCTATAATCTTTCCATACTGTGCTGGCTAACTTAGGCTTTTTATTACAATGCTGAAGGGCACTGTTTTGGAATATGTTGCCTTTGAAAGGAACACAGAGTTATACTGAAGTATAAATATAATATAATATAAATTGAAATCAGTTAGCAGTCAGCTGAAATCTTGGAGCATTTTTGCTGACTTAAAGAGGGTGGTCGAGCATGTGGTATTCTTCGTGCATAGAGAGCACACAAAATAAGACATGAAGGTAGTATCACCTCACAAAAAACCTTATTATGAAAATTGTTGAAATTACTTGGCCCACATTTTTGTCAATGGCTAAAAAATAGTGAATTCATGGAAAACATTCAGGAAAGACTTAACTCTGTCTTAGAGTCACAGCCACAAGAAGGATAAGAAACAACTTAAATCATTTGATATTTGCCTACATGCATACATCTATCTACAGAGAGAGATACTTCTGATTGACAGCTCTTTAATATAAAAAGTTTTAATGAACTCATCTGTTTGAGATGGAAATTGGACAAATTCAGGTAGCAAATAAGTCACAGTTGTCAAACAAGACAATTAATCATTGAAACAATTTACCTGGGATGTGAAACATTCTGACTCGGCACAAAGATATGGTAAAAGAGATTGTTTGATACCATTTTACCTAGTTCATTATGCAGGAGGCTGAAATACTTAAATATGATGGTCTCCACAAGAGCTTGAATTGTTTGAGATATATCTTTGTGAGAATAAAGCATGTGACTACATGGCAACAATAAATCTTCTACAACTAATGTGAATTTGCTGGGCAATTTATATGCTGTTAGCAGCACTACTTTGCAAGGTAACGAGTAATTTAAATGATGGTCATAGTATTGCTTAGGCAGTGCTAGGATCTAGGCTCATCAGAAGAGATTTTGAGGGGGAAAAGGATAAAACCAGGCTCAGTGGAGTTAGGGATAGGCTCCAGTATGTTAGGGAAATTCACCATCGGGATCAGTTCTGAACTGGTTTTCTTGGAATTAGTTAGAAGCTACAGAAAGGCATCTAATGCCTCTTCATAAATGTTCTTGGCATTGCCAAGATGGAAATAGGAAAAATACAGTTGTTGCTGTACTCTTAATTATTGTGCATTCAGCTTTTAACTCATGTACAAGTTGCAAGAACTAAGCAGAACGTATTACTGGTATGATGCTGCTGTCAAAAGAAAAAATCATGTAAAGGGTAGCAGTGTCTCCAACCAATTGTTCATGGACAGTGGATACAAAGTTAATGAAATTTACACTCGCCATACAAAGGTCAGTTTTGATAGAATTGATTTGCTCACAGTCTCTTCCCATTCTGTATTCTTTACTTAACTGCCTTACAGTTTCTGAAAGACAAACATTACCTGAAAGTAGGTTTAGAGTAATAAAGTGTTACATCCTTTCTAAAATTATTAGGATCATCCAGACTCTTCCAAATCTGTATTTAATATGCAAAGTTCTGAGTTTTTTCTCAAGTGGCATTTCATTCTATAGTCAATATTATCTCTTTTTCTCATAGTATTTCAGTCCTACTTAAACTTGTATTTCCAAGTATTTCTCTTGGCTTTTTGACCTTGAGCTTTGAAATTACTCACTTGAATTAGGGTACTGTTTATAGCTTATTTAAACACTTTTTTTTTATTAAAGGATTTGAAATAGGTGTTTTAAATAACAAGTGTTATTAATAATAAATAACAAGTGTACATTTCCAACAACCTGCTGTAGCTTGTAGAAGTAAGAGAGATTCTTCACTAAACAGCCAAAATCACTCTGTCTGCTTCTGTATACATTGATAGAGTAATTCATTTTTTTTTAACCATTCAACTAATTTTAGTAATTTCTGCTTCCATTCCAGGTGCAGGACAAGTTTCGTTTAGACCTGTCTGATGAAGAAGCTGTCCATTACATGCAGAGTCTAATTGATGAAAGTGTCCATGCCCTCTTTGCAGCTGTTGTAGAGCAGATACACAAGTTTGCACAGGTGAGGTATTTTCTCAGTTGCTGGTCTCTGTGATAGCTGATTAAGGCAAGAGGTTGTGAGTGGTATGTTTAAGGCATAACTTCACTTTGTGATATATTAGTTCATTTTACTACAAGATGAAACTGTGTTTTAGTTAAAAGGACTGGAGGACAAGCTTGTAGAGGTCCTATAAAAATTCTGAAGCACTTTAGCAATCATGCAAGGTCTGGCATCTGGGACAAGGCAACTTCTGATGCCATTCCAGGCTTGGCATGAGCAGAGCCAAAGCAGTTCTATGGAGAAGGGCTTGGAGGTGCTGCTGGGTGAGAGGCTGGACATGCCCCGGCCATGGCACTCACAGCCCAGAGAGCCAAACGTGGGCAGCAGGGGAGGGAGGGGATTCTGCCCCTCTTCTCTGCTCTGCTGAGACCCAGCTGGAGCATCCAGAGCTGGGATCCCTGCACAGGAGGGACAGGGACCTGTTGGAGTGAGCCCAGAGGGTTACAAAAGTTATCAGAGGGCTGGATCACCTGTGCTAGGGAGACAGTCTGAGAGAGCTGGGATTGTTCAGACTGGAGAAGAGAAGGCTTCAGGAAGATTTTAGACCCTTCTTGCTCATGATCTGGGTTAACAACAGATTATAGCTTCTGTTATTTTTGTTATTACAATATACCCTGTTTGAAGAATGCAGTTTTTGACCCAGTGTTTTACTCTGTGCTGTCTTACTACAATACATAGTAAGACAATAAAATGCTTGATTTCCATGTTAAATAAAACTGTGTTCACAAAAGCATTTCTGCCTTGAATTTACAGAATTTTGGTTTTTTTTCCTTAAAACTGTCTGACATTTAGTTTGTGTTTATTGGGGATTTAAGATATTACACTGTTTGCCTTAAATATTAGACCATGACAAGAAATGGATTTAAGACGAAAAATTAAACTGCTCTGAAAAGCCTGTCATTATATCCTGGTTTTCATTTGATACTTTCTTCAAAAGACTAGTCAAATTCTGATATGAACCAAGGAGAACTATTGTTAGGGCTATCCATTCTGCTAAAAAGCATCTGTTCTTTTCTTCAAACTAGTTTTTATTTTGAAGACTTGCACTGTAGTGCAGGATAAGAAATAATGTAATTTCCATCTATATATTTAATAAAGGTGAAGTTTTATGAGATGTGAAAAAAGGGAGGGTAATTACATGGAAATGATGCAAAAGTTGTTGTCATTCACTATGGATTACTTTGAACTTTGGATGACGGATGGTAATTTCATAAGACAAAGTGAAAATGCCTGGCATCTACCTTAGCATTCAAAAACAAAAAACAAAACAAACTATTAGAAACCATTAGAAATATTCAAGATTGAAGTTTTGTCCACTATATGTGTAGACCTTTCTTTTCATCACATACTGACAGTCACTTTTTTAAAGACATGTCTTTTTACTTCATTGGCCTTAGGTGACTGCTACACTCTCCCAGATAATTGTTATTGCATTTGTGAAAGTGTATTATTAAGTCAGAGTTTACAGGTTTGATTCAGGTGACCTTTTCTTTTTCCATTCAGGCTTGTTTTTGCTTGATCTTTCTTCAGTTCTTAATCCTGCTTTTAAAGTCACTGGACAGATTTGTTCAGAATATTTGGAAGTACCCAAGAATGTTGCTCCAGAAACTTGTAGTACAGGTTTCTGGAGGATGGGCTCTGAGCAACCTGGTCTAGTGGAGGTGTCCCTGACTATGGCAGAGGGGTTGGGATTAGTTGATCTTTAAGGTCCCTTCCAACCAAAACATTCTGACTCTGGCTCTCAGGAATGGTGTTCTAAGCAAAAAGCTGATACACATTCAAACAGGCACTGATTGCATCTTCTGTTTGTATTTTCGGGAGTTAATAAGCAAGCCCCCTGGTGCATTACACTTTGGATACCAAATAAGCAGATGTGACAGCCACTAATGTAGGCCTGATACAGTTACCTTATTTTGGGGTCTTTACCTCTCCAGCTGGCCCATGCTGAATCTCAGCACAGGGATGTTTTCCTGAGGCTCTGTGCAATCTTTGTACACTGCTGCAGGGTATGCAGCCTATGTGCTTTTAGCTTTTTTAGTTTCTGCTATTAGCAGAAACTGCTTTGGGCAGCTGGTGCCTAGAATGAAAAACAAGTGTCTTGATTTGTGAGTGCTAAAGGCATCTCATGACTCCATGTGATGCTAGTTTTGGAGTTCCAGTTACTGCCTTTATTCATACCCTAAAAAATGTAGGCTTGCAGGCTTTCTCCTGCAAAGACAATGGATTGCAAATGTGAGGAGGATGCAAAAAGAACAGACACAGATTAATCAGCAGTTGTCAAGTCTTAAGAATCCGCTCTCTATTAATTTATTTAAAAAAAAAAAAAAACTAACTTCAAAAAACCCAATGAAAATAAGTGTAATTAATGTCTATTCTCTTTATATTTTGGGTGAAATAGGATGCTTCTTAGTGATACTTACTACTTCATCAGTCAAAATTACTATCTTTCCTTTGTCTGAGGCAGTCTTAAGAATTAGCTGCAGTAGTCTTCATGGAGTCTGCAAATCGTTAAACAAATGAACAATTAATGGGTTGTGAATTTGACATAAAGGGGTCATCTTACTCAATGGCCAATTGAAGCTTTCAATTTGTTCATCTATAATTCTCCACTGAATTGCCAGTGGCCTTGTTCTTCATAGTATTATAAGCTGTCTGGAAAAAATCCCCAACACTACACAGGTGTTATGATACAAGTGGAAACAGCAGATTTGGCCTAATGCCACAAAATATTTCATTTAAAATGCTGTTCAATACATTTTTTGCTTATCAGTAGATATTTATTCTTTTACTGACTCCAAAATAGGCCTGCAAGGAATTTGGGCAGTCTACTGCAGCACCTAAGAGCTTTTTAACAAGGTTGGTTATTATAGTAACCATGGTGTTTCAGTATTCTGTATGTCACTCTGCAGAAAGTAAAGTTCTTTTTACAGACCTTTTATGCACTGCCTTCTCCTTAATGGTTATCAAAAAAAAAGTTGTCTCAAAAGTAAATAAATTCAGCATTTAGAATAAGGTAATGGTGTTGTACAATAGTTCTCAAGAGGAAGAAAAGGTGCATACTAATTTTAGTTGATACTAATGAAGACTGGATAGCCATTTCTCCCTGGAGAGTAATTTTAATTTTTTCAGAGTTATTTACTTCTGCAGAGGAAGGAAACAATCTGCAGTTGAAGTGTCTAATTTCACATTTTATTTCCATTGTAAATTTACAAATCAAGTCAGTTGCATTCAGGGCTGAAACGGTAAGCAGTGGTTAGAAAAGTGAAAGCTTGTGGGATGCAGGGTGTCTCACCTAAAGTGTAACTGTACAGTTTTGGGGTTTATTAATGTTTGGCTGAAAACTGTTTAGGAGCAGACTTAGTCTCAGCTGTAAATGTTGCATGAATTTAGAATATCTATCGGCTGTAACCCCAGCACTTCTGCATCACAGAACACAGACACCTCAGCACAGGGCTTCTGTTTTTATTCCTGCTGGATGCCAAAATAAGATAGGGAATGTCTACCAGCAGAACTGTGTGTATTGGATGAAATAATCAAGAGGCATAGTGTTGGTTTCCATGCTGCTTTTTCCCTTAAAAGGTTATGGAAATTACCTAGCCTTAGGCATTTCACCATGTTTTTAAACACAGAATTCAATTTGTACATAGCATTTGTTCTTTGAGGGTAAACCAGATTGAGTAATCTCTGTGCTGTTGTGCTTTTTCTTTTCTTTTAGTATTGGAGAAAATAAGCTTTTTGCCTGCTTATGGTGGAAACAAGCAAATGCTCAAAACAGAGACATTTCTTAAGACATTGTGGACTTGACCGAACAGTTCTGGAAGGCAAAAGCTGCAGATTTAATAGCGTGAAGAACTGAGAACTCAGAAGGTAGAGAAGCTTTTTGAGTCTCTGTTCATTAAAGGTTTTAAACGAACTACTTTTTAAAGGAAGATGATTGTTTGTACCATCCTTGTGAGACTCAAAGGTTGAAGTAAGCAACTTCTTCTCAAGCCAAAGATAACTGGAAGAGGTTGGATTTAATGGCGAATTCTTGTACGTGTTAATATATTTTCTTATTTAAAAATAGGATACAAAGCTAAAGCAGGGAGGCTACAGTGTCTTGGTGCGGAAAAACCCTTCACAAAACCACGGCAATCCCTTCTCATCCCTCCTCACCCACTTTGTTCCTTGAGTAAATTTTAAATGTAATTCATATTATCCTTTATTTCCTGCCTTGGGCAATGTTATCGTTTAGAACGGACAATCATTTCTTGCCTGCTTACAGAAGTGTTTTTAAATGCTGATAAGTTACCCCAGCTGTAGGCAGCCAATTAAATGATCACTAATAGGCTCAGCAATGGGAATGCACAGTGAGCAGTTCAGTATTTCACGCTCTAACTCTAAATGTTTTCTGTACAGTGATTATATATTCTTCACTCTAATAAAAACTTTTGTTGTTGCACTCTTGAGGTGTTCTGTTTTGTCTTTTTAATCTTACCTGCTGAGACATAGTACACTATAGGATTATGTTTGTAACTACTGTCTTTTTGCAAGAATTTTCACTTCTCAGTTTACCAGATGCTGGAATAAGGCCACTCATGAAATGACTTTTGGACCACATGTTGAGTTCATAATGAATCTGGTTTGTATGATCAATAATGTAATTAGCTCTTCATAATGTGTGGCTCTCTTCAAATAATAGTCCAAATAGTCCTATATTTTTTTAAATAACATTTTAAGTCAGGAAGAAATCCTTCACAATTACAAAGATAAGAGGGACTGATTGGAATGTGAATCTGACTGGTATTTTTGAGTCAATTTTGCTCTGTGCTTTTGTCCCTTTTTTCCCCTGTATATGTAACTTAAGTGACTGCATTATCCTAGTTGCTTAGTGCTCATATTGTCTGGGGACACAGTGTCACAGAGGAGCCACAGTAATATCTTTTATCTTTAGCTTACTCTTCTTTGGAGAAGTAGTAATTACCATTTTCTTGTGGTTTGGTTTAGTTTTTCATTTCTGTCAGACTTACACATTCCTCTACTCTCTGTTTTGCATGAAGTTGTTCTACATTCAGTGCTTTGTGGTATCTTCTAAGTATAGTTCTGAGAGCCTGGACTTTTCAGATGTTCAGAGAGAATTCTGTGGAAAAAAAAGTCTTTTTCCTTCTTTCGGTATGTTTCAAATGTGCATCCTACGTGCTCAGACAACTTCTGGTCTTTATGAAGCAGCCACACTTTATTTGACTTGAGTTCTTGTTTCTGACCCCCCAGCCCTTTCAACTGCACATATTGTAGGAATGTTCCTCTATTTATTTTGAAGAAAACTTCCTGTTCATCCTGCTCAAGTCTAATTACGAAGGATATGGGCATGACCCACTGTGTACCAGTTGACCAGACAGGCCAAGGTTGTCTCCTTATTAAAACCCAAAAGACATCATCAACTTGATCCTACAACACATTTCACTTTGCAGAGATGTTTACAAACTGCTAAATGTTGACCTTTATAAACACATTATGTATTAATGGATGGTTTCTTGTGTTTTGGAATTAACCTGTTCATATGCTGGACTATGCAACAGCCTTTTAAAACTGTACCCTTAAGTTGTAAATGTTAGCACGTGAACCCAAGTAGAATGTGATTACAGGTAAAGCTTAGAAGAGCCAGTTCACTATCCACTTTTTAAGTGGAGAATATCAGGCACAGAAGCAGAAAAGCCTGCCTGAATCAGTGGAAAATAGTCCAGCCAGTGTGTTCATCTGTTTCTGCATGTTGAGTGACTCTGCATATATTTTCAGTGCATTTTCCAAAAAATTTTACAAAACAGTGAGCACAGACCAACTGGATATGTCTCTCACCCAGCTAGTGGCTTTTTTTAGGTTAATGTGCATATTCTGTTCCTAGCTCTTAGGAACCTTTTCAGAATAAAGGTCAGGACAGGACTGAGGCTGCTACAACATACTAGACATAAGCAGATTTACACTTCAAGCCTTGTCTCCTAAATACCAAGTATTGTTGAAAATTGAAAAAACATCAATATGGTTGTTTTATTTAATAGTCTTATACAAAGTTCTGACTTTGTTTTGTAAGATCTAATGGCTCTTAGCACTTCATGTGGCATCATTTATTTAAAGTAAAACAGACAGTTGAAAAGAAGAAAAGCCAAACAAGCTGTGTTGCTGAGGGGAAATAAGTCACTTTGTTTTAAATGAAAGGTTTTCTTTTTATTTTTGTATGTTACCAAAATCTTTGATTTACTGCAGTTAATATGTGTAGTAAGTTACCTATCATTGATACCACTGTATAATACCCTGAGTGTATTGTGTGTCTGTTGTCTCTAATAAATTCTGAATCCCTTGAATAACTACATTAAATTCTGTCTTTAGGAGTACAATTCTTACAGGTGAAGTCCTTTTGCATTTCACAAAGGTAGAATCCCAGTCAGGTGAAGTTCCCCACAGGAATGTCAGACAGGAGTTTCACCCTGTATTTCTGTTTGTGTGAGTGCATAAGGAGGGGGTAAACACTCACAGCTCTGCATGGAGTGAAGCAGTGAGCTCTGTCGAGTGCATTGGAGCATGGTGGAGTGTGTGGTAGGAAAGCAGGCTGAACCAGTTGTGTCACAGAGTAACTTGTCAAAAATCATCCTGTTAAGTTCCTCCACGAAGCATTACAGAGCAAAAAAAATAAAACAGTAATTTTTCCATGGACTTTTTTTGACCAGCAGTTGTATTTTATATAACTAGAGATAAAAAGTACAATGAAACTACCTTGTGGGTGCTTTATTTGCCTTTCAGCATTCATCTTGGTCCAATACTGATCTTTTTTTTCTTATAGAATCTGTACTGGTTCTTTGGGATAGAGGGTGGAAGAAGCAAAAGAAATAATTTTTCCTTCCCTACTGCAGCCTGTTGGTTGTTTTCAACTGCAAGTGCATCAGGAGCAGAAAGTGCCACTGTAGGCTTTTCTTTTAGGTTAAAGAAGCAATAATGGCCAAAGCAGTATTTTTGGGGAAGGCAGGGTAGGGGAATGAGAAAGATGTGGACGTGCTCTGTACTTTTAATACAAAAGGCCTCTATCCTTTTGGCAAGAAATATCCCTGTTTCTATAGACAGTTACCTTGTTTTGTTGTTCCTGTGTGCAATTTAAAATAGTAAGTGCTTTAGCAACTCTTTACAGGAATAATGACTTTGGAAAAGGGAAGAAGGAACAGTGAATGGGAATCTTAACACCCCCTTGCAGAGTGGGGATAGCAGAAAGAGAGGTAGTGTAAATGGCCTGCCTTTTGTTGTCAGGAGAGGTTTTAGTCACAAGACCTGGTATCATCAGGGGATGGTAAAATACTGTAGTTATTATGAAGTATCTGAAGCACCTACGTTTAAGGAGTCTTAAGGGAGTCATTGAAAACAGATTGCAGGTGGATTGTGTTAGAATAGATTTTTTGTAACCTCTTCAGCTGATGTGATGATTCTTTGTAATAGTGAGGCTACTCAAAGTGTGATATCCTGTCCTCCCATCATTTAGATTGGACCCTGCAAGAGGGAATGGAATTTCATTTTGGAGGATAAAATGCCCAACCCTGGTTGCTTCCTGAATAGTAACAGTGAAGTGGTTCACCTACCTGGGTTCAAACCTGAAACAGCAAGGATAGTGCTTCAAGAAGAATTTGTAACTCATCTACGCACAGGCATTTATCACTTCAGCTGTGTGTGGGACAGTCCATTCCAAAGAGAGCTAAGCTATACCCCAGGGTGGTACTTAAATTCCAAATAAAACTCCTTTGCAGTTAGACGCTGTGAAAAATTTAACAGAACTGTTTGGAATTTCTTCCCCTGATAAAAGAGTGTACTCTTCATCAGTGGTGAGGGATCAGAAGGTAGCAGTTTACAAGAGTCAGTGTTCATAACCTGCAGTGTAAGAAAAGTGATGTGAAGGTGTGGCTGAAGCAGTGTGGGCATTCTGGGTAGCTCTGGAATCCCTTCTTCCACGGCAGGCAATTAATTTGGTACATCCTGTAGTCCTTACAGTGACAGATAATTCCACTTCCCTTGTCTTGCTCTGTGTTTAGATGTTGATTGGATTATGTAACAGGTAAATCATACAGATGCACATCCCAAAGTGACAAACAAACTGCTTTGTCTCTACTTCATCTATAAAGTCGGAAGATAGTTTGCCACAGTCCATTTTGGTGTGTCTTCTTTCACTGGGCATCAGAATATAAAGATTCTGATATTTATATATCTTAAATATATTAATATTTAATAATAATAATATAATTATTATATTATAAATAAAATAATTTATGTATAGTTTATATTAATTATAATTATTTATAATTATAATAATTTATAATAATTATAATTTATATATTTATACAAATATTTAATAATCTATTTATATATATTAAATATGTTAAATATCTTAAAGATCTTCTGATCTTTATATATCTTAACCAAAGGGTTTTCTCTCTCACATCTAATTTAACGTCTCTCACTGGTTTCAGACTGAAAAACTCATGTTATAAAAAGCAAATATATTTTTTTTTAATAAGTTTATTTTCTTGCACAACCATATGAACAGTTTTCTAGTTGAGAAGATAGGAAGTAATTAGGTAGAATCTGCTTTTAACACACCACTCACAAGACTTCTTCCCTTTGAACTTCAGGTGGAGTAACCTAAGTTCCATATCTGGGTGCATGTGTAGAGAGATGGCTGTGCATCTTGGCTGCCTGATGGTGTAGCATCTTGTCCTCTGTCCTCAGGGCAGGGACAGAGCTTTTTTTTCTTTTCCAGTAAATACTAGATTGGGGTTTTTTTCCCTTTATTTGGTGATGTCAGTTGTACTTACTCAGTGGATTTAGCAGTCCTTTAACTTTTCTAATGCTATATTTTCATTAACTGACATACAAGTAAGAGATTTCTGATGAAAGCACGGTTGGTCTAGTAGAAGCGTCTATTCCCTGAAGTAGGCATCTTCCATTTCAGCTTTGGAATTTTTCTCCCTTTGTCTGTCCCTGCTGGGAGCCATTCTTATGTAGATAACTCCCCTGATCCTGCAGTGACAGACTCAATGCTGTGTTTTCTGACCCCAGGGCGGTTAAGGGGAGATGCTGGTGCAGTGATGGTTGTCTGAGTCATTCACCTCAGGGATGAGGACATCTCTGGCATGGCAGGAAGCTCCTTTAAAGGAAAAATTCAGCTGAAATCTCTGGTCAGGTTCTGCTTTTCCAAGAGAAAGCACAGCTGCAAACCTTGGGACAGTGAATGAGGTTGTCTTAAAACTACATAGCAGAGATCTGGCTGTGGAGACCTGTAAGACATGTACTTGCTGAAATCCTGAATATGGGGAAAAAAATGTGGTTATATAGTTCAGAGATGTTTTGCATAGTTAATCCACTACATTTACTAAAACATGGAAGTGGTATGTTTTCAATGATATTGGACCATATTGCACTTACCTTCCAAGCTG